TAGAACAATATTTGAGGAATTTGTATTCTAAGATGGTTGTAGTGATACTGATAGTGATTCACTAAAATCAATATCAATTATTATTTGTGGATATTTATGTTTGATTTCGAAAATTTAGTTTCTAACAGAGTTTAAGAGAATAAATTAACATGAACATAATATTAACATAACACTAATAAATAACTAATTGTAGTTTAAGCTTATTTGGATTTTGAGTTAGCAATCCAAAGCGAATGTAGCCAGCGGTTACCACTTTGAATTGCAGAAGATTATGGACTTCATGTTTCAACTGATTCAATATATTTTTTTTATTGCTTAGGTAGGTGGACGAGCTCACAGCCCACCTGATGTTAAGTGGTTACTGGAACCCATAGACATCCACGACGTAAATGCGCCACCCACCTTGAGATATAAGTTCTAAGGTCTCAAGTATAGTTACAACGGCTGCCCCACCCTTCAAACCGAAACGCATTACTGCTTCACGGCAGAAATAGGCAGGGTGGTGGTACCCACCCGCGCGGACTCACAAGATGTCCTACCACCAGTAATTACGCAAATTATAATTTTGCGGGTTTCATTTTTATTACACGATGTTATTCCTTCACCGTGGAAGTCAATCGTGAACGTTGAGTGTTGTTGAGTACGTATTTCATTACAAAAATTGGTACCCGCCTGATATTCGAACACCGGTGCATCGCTCAACACGATTGCACCGGACGTCCGTTAGGCCACGACGACTTTAAAAATATAAAATAAAAAATAAATAAAAAATATAAAAATTTCGGCGTTAATTTTTCGCGGCGAAAACAACTAAACTCATTTAATCACTGCACTATTCGCCGCGACTACCGCTCGACTCCGTGGCTCGCGCCGTCCGTATTCATGCATTTGTTTTGCTCGCCCGCCGCATCGCGCGATTCGCTCGGTACATTTCGCCGGTCGCTTCGCCGGTCGCCGGTGCGCGTGGCTTGTTAGGTACATTTCTATGCGCTTATTTTAGTCGCTAGACGCTTCGCCGTTCGCACCGCGCGAATATTCGTATCGGCGAATGTCCCGTGGCCAGGCTGTTAGATGGAGAAACGAGATCACGACCTACCTTTTGTCAAGTGATTTTCGTAGCTCAAAAGTGTCATAGCACGGATGCATCATCCACACAGAGATTCAATGATAAGGTACCTCTGCGACCTCATGATGGACGTCTGAATTTCATTATAAAATGGCTGTTCCATAACTAGCTATAGGAATAGGCTATTACATTGGTAAATAGCTTAGAAAACACTTCAAAAGTTATTGGGAATCTCTTTGTGGCGAAATGCAAGAAGCCATTGCATTTCGGTAAAGAGTTCGGTTTGATTATCTCGCGGGCTTTAATAATCCAACTAACTACACACGGACCAGTAGATGAGCTCACGAGCTTAACCTGAGAAAATATGCTAACACTGGCCCTAGCAAGAGTCGTGTTTCGCTGAATCTACGACCGTATCGAAATAGCGAACCACTGAAAAGATCCAGCGAGATATTCAGTGGGTTGAGTCTATGGGCTAGTTGCACGTCGAACTCTTCGTCGTAATCAACGAGTTCGACCTTTCCTTTATTTGATAACTAGCGACCCGCCCTCGCTTCGCTTCGGAAACATTAAAACACACATGAAACAAAAAAAAAAGTGTGTGTGTCCGCTCCGACGCACGACTGGAGTTTACTGGATATAAAAAATTAAACGAAACAATACGAGAAATAGTTCTATATTACGACAACACGATACACTACAGATTATTAACAAATTAACGAGACACAAAACAAACGACTAACAAATATATGAAAATACAATAATGAGAGAAACGTGCGATCAGTACGAGGCTTTGTGGCGGACTGCCGGCGCAGCAGCCCGGCGTCACCTGCGATAACGCGGCCGCGCGTTGGCTCCTGATTGGCGCGCGCACGCATCACGCAATCAGGAGCCAATCAGGCGCATAACGCATTTCGTGTGACATGCTAGTACGATTTTGGTCCCCATAATTTTCATACCCCGGGCCTATATATGTAAATCGATTCTAAAGGAGTAAACTCCAAAAAAAATTTTTTTTTTAAAAAAGTAGCCTGTGTTCATTAGGGACAATGTCGGCTTCTAATGGAAAAAGAATTTTTCAAATGGGTCCAGTAGTTTCGGAGCCTATTCGAAACAAACAAACAAACAAATCTTTCCTCTTTATAATATTAGTATAGACTAGTAAACCTAAAATAGATTAAAATAATTTATTGTAGACTAGCTGACCCGGCAGACTTCGTAGTACCTCAATCGAACTAAACTTTTGTATAAAATAAACTTAAAACAAATAAAAGGAATCGACGGGAGACACATCAAAGGAAAAACAAATTTGTTATTTTTATTTAATTCCGAGCATTTTCATATTTGCCTATCATTTAAACCTTCTCTGGACTTCCACAAGTAATTCAAGACCAAAATTAGCCAAATCGGTCCAGCCGTTCTCGAGTTTTAGCGAGACTAACGAACAGCAATTCATTTTTATATATACTTATGTAGATAAAACAGGTCCAAATGACCCAGCAGTAACTTGAAGCAGAAAGCGCCCTAGTGTTGTGAACTAGTCTGTACATTTTGTAAGCTCTGTCCGTTCACTTACATTGTACGAGTTTATCTAGTCATGCGTGTTTCCTTTTGGTTTGTGACGGCTTGTTTAGGTAGTAAAGTAAATTATGTGCAGCTGTATTTCAAGACTATCTGAAAGTAGATATTTCGTTTTTTTTATGGCATGGGCGGACGAATGTATTACAGCCATCAGTATCGACATTGTGCACCAAGCGTAATAAGCGTATTCAGTGAATTTATGATCAAATAAAATTTCATAAAATATAGGCTTTTTTGGAACGAAGTTCCTTATGGGACGATGCGGAGGGGTACCCTAAAACGTCTGTAGCGTAAGATTTTTATTAGTAATGCACACAGTGTACGACTTAACTATGTAATAACGTACAAAAAGTAACATATTTTTTATCATTCATTGACCACGATCTCAGAGCGTTCGTTTGCGCAATACACTAACTTTTATTCAAACAACCGTGAATGAAGTGTACCACAATAAGTTCGTACGTTACCGTATGACCGTGGGTTGTTGCGAAACCTCCAGTTTTATTTTCTTTATACCTCAAATAGAACTTAAAATTAATATTTTTATAATGAGGAACTACGTTCCTATCCGGTGTCCCACGACATCACACATATTTTTTTGTTTATAGTAAGAATATGAGTATCTTTTCTGTAGCTGTGAATTGGCATCTAGCTCCCGGTTCACTTGGTGTTTTGTGTGCATCTGTGAAATTGGTATTGGAGTATTGGTGGTATTGGTTTTTATTACAATTCCAAGTCCATATTTGATCACCGCGTTTGTCTAGTGGTTACCCAGAGTTAGTGAAATTGGCAGTTATTTGGAACCCGAATATCTGGAAGCTATTGTTCTGGTATCACATATGCATGTTCGCATAATGTAGACACAAACTTGGAGCCATAAATTTGGCATGTTTGGCTTTAAGTGTTTTTATTTATAAAGGATATTATGTAGTGTGCGGTGGTGATTAATCGCCAGTATAGTATGCATATTGGTCATCTGTCTTCGCCATAGTTTCGTTATCCTAACTAATAATAATTGAATCCCTGATCTTGGAACCAGTTGTACCTTGGGACATGCTCATTAAGTCCTTTACTAACGATAAGGCTGTACTGTCATTCGAAGCAGTATGTATGGCTACTTTGCCCCCGAAATAGCTGTTAGGGATGTCCCCATTATCGCTTTTCAAAGGACAATATCACATCATATCACAAAAACTAAGCAATTTTCTGATAAACATCTGACACAAAAATGGTTATAGTTTGACGTGTCATTTATATTTCCATTTGTCAAACAGCGTGGCGTGGCTTTGGGCGTGCGAGACAATTTGTCACGACTTATGTAGTGTTACAAAGATGGTTGATGTTAATTTAATCAAATTATATGTGAAATGACGGTCTCCTCATAACGTTGAAATGCATTAGTATCGTTTTTTGCTGACGCTAAATTCTATATTCCAGCCAATCAAAGTCTGAATGGTTAATTAATGAAAAAAAAAAAACAATTCTCCTTATCCGAAACATTAATGCTGATTGAGATACTTTTTCCAAAAATTAATTTTATGGGTTCATGTTATTTGACGTGTTTCGAACTCTAGCAACGGCTTTTAAAACCATGTTTAAGGAATTCTATTATAAAATTATTATAGTGATACTGATAATGATTAGTGATCTAATAGAACTAATTTTAATTGCTGTATCTGAAAAAAAAAAGACATTTGTGGATATTTGCATTACATTTCGAAATTACCGTTTTAAACAGTTATAAGATAATAAATTAACATCAGCATGATAGTAACATAAGATCAGTAAATGACTACTTGTAGTTTGAGCTTATTTTGATTCTGAGTTATCAGTCCAAGGCGAATGCAGCCAGCGGTTACCAATTTGAATTGCAGAAGACTGTGGACTTCATGTTTCAAACTGATTCTAACTGTAACTGATTGTTATTGTATTACTGGTGGTAGGACCTCTTGTGAGTCCGCACGGGTAGGTACCACCACCCCTCCTATTTCTGCCGTGAAGCAGTAATGCGTTTCGGTTTGAAGGGTGGGGCAGCCGTTGTAACTATACTGAGACCTTAGAACTCATATCTCAAGGTGGGTGGGGGCATCTACGTTGTAGATATCTATGGGCTCCAGTAACCATTGAGACCAGGTGGGCTGTGAGCTCATCCACCCATCTAAGCAATAAAAAAAAAAAAAAAATTACATTACGTATGTAGGGAATAGTTTGTTTGATGTTTATTTATCGATAACACGATTACAAACATAACTATTACGGCCTGTTTATTTAATCGGGAGCTATTCCTGCACTATATACTTAGCATGTTCAAATAAATATAACAAAACATTAAATCGCGTACTTTTCATTGCAGATGCAAATCGAAGACGTTCTTCGTCGTCGGTGAGTACTTTAACGATTGTTAATCGACTTTACCTCAGTAATAACCTAATAACTGTTTTGCGATGCACGATTGTATGACTACCGCTATGCAGCAATTACCTTCAACTGCTGCTACGTATTAATACGTAAAGTTCTAATGAAACTCAATTAGTTAATATCTGTTTTGTTTTTCTTGATAATGCAATGGAACAATATTTTTATTTATTTGATGTTCGTTTTTAGATTTTATGGTGAGCAGAAGTCAATGGATACACCCTCGAGCTACCGTTTCCCTGTCACTCCGTAGTAGGATTACCTTTCCCCTTTTTATTTATTGATTCCTATTTTGACTATTGGAAAAAGAAAACTCACATGGAGATTTATTAATTACCAGCTGACCCGGCAGACTTCGTAGTGCCTCAATCGATAAATAAAAGACCTATGTTTTTGTATAAAATAAACTTAAAACAAACAAAAGGAATCCGTCCTACGGGCGACACATCAAAGGAAAAACAAAATTGTTATTTTTTATTAAATTCCAAGCATTTTCATATTTACTGGTGGTAGGACCTCTTGTGAGTCCGCGCGGGTAGGTACCACCGCCCTGCCTATTTCTGCCGTGAAGCAGTAATGCGTTTCCGTTTGAAGGATGGGGTAGCCGTCGTAGCTATACTGAGATCTTAGAACTTATATCTCAAGGTGGGTGGCGCATTTACGTTGTAGATGTCCATGGGCTCCAGTAACCACTTAACATCAGGTGGGCTGTGAGCTCGTCCACACATCTAAGAAAAAAAAAAAACTACCTTTTAAACCTTCTCTGGACTTCCACAAATAATTCAAGACCAAAATTAGCCAAATCGGTCCAGCCGTTCTCGAGTTTTAGCGAGACTAACGAACAGCAATTCATTTTTATTTAAATAGAAGATAGACAGATTATTTGATTATACGGTAAGCGTTTTTTTCCCCGTTCAAACTTCACTGGATTATTGCGCATATTTTTTTTTGTATATTCGTATACAGTTTAGTATTTAATAAGTAATTTACAGTTCATAGTCTCTGAGTTAGACTCTGAGTTCAGATAAAATTTCTAAAAAACAAAACTAGTTTATTTTTCTGCAGGTAGATTGTAAAATCTGTCCCCCTAAGACTAGGAAGTTAAAAATTCAGTTAGTCTTCTAGATCCAGCGGATTTTGCGTTGATAAAGTAGAACTGTGTCCTAGGTATTAAAAAAAACACGAATTTCCCATTAAATAAATCATTAAAAGTCCAGTAGCCAGCTCCTATTTTTTTACGTCTTGTCTTAAAGACCATTAACCGGCTTTCAGAGTAATTAAGATGTAGTAAAAAGAAAAACAGTTTCAAGTAAGAATATAAGGGTGGTGATGCAAAAAAGCCAGAGTCTCGACAGGATCTTTAAGACAATTTATGTTCGTTTATGAGTAACTCTCCGACGTTAATGTTTAGAAGGTTTCCAAGTATTTTTTTACAGTTATAGGGTACTTAGAAAACTGATAGATTCCGCAGTAATTTGCTCGGATTTTACGAGTCGTAGACTTAGATAAGTCGATGATCACAAAAACTGTACAAGTATTCAAATCATTAACATTAACATAACAAACAGTAACATTAAGTATTCAAAATTGCCGCTTACTATATACGAAGTTAAAAGTCATATTAATTATTTTTTTCCTCTCAATCGCCAATGATTCGTCTCTGTTAGAAAGGTGGTCATTTTTCAATGCCCTTCTTGAAGAATTAGGTGTACGGGAGCCTACTAACTCTTCAAAGACATTTTGTACTGCCTCTTGTTCTTTTGAGACTGTCAGTTGTGCCGCATGAGGTCGACCGTTGTCGTGGAAAGGCGGGGACGAGCGATTAAGAGAAACGGGTCGGAAATTCGTGAACTTCTCTATCATTGTGTCCAGTTCCCCACAGTAAACATCCGCAGTAATACTGATGCAATTTGGTATGAAGCTATAATTTTATACCGGCATTAGACCACCAACCAGTGACAATAACTTTTTGGGGTAGTTTTTGTTTGGGATATTTCCTAGATGATAACCGCTTAGGATGATATAAAAGACTCAATTTTTCAATTTAATTGACAATGCGGTCCAAAATCCCTTCGTATCTGTATCTGTTAAACAACGCAAGGTATTATACCTTACCGCTCGTGGTTGGAGGCTGAATAGGGGTCGGAGTGCAGTTGAGGAATCTCTGCCTCTAGTTGGACAGCTAGATAGTTGGCTTTTCGTGCGGTGCCATCAAGGGTGACCGAGGGAACTGGTGGTCGTGTCGCCGGCAGCCGCCGGTCCGGCGTCTGTGGGGCGGCGGGATGGATGTAATATGCTCTGCGTCAGCCCCATCCCGCCGTCTCAATAGCCCCGACTGGGCTCCGACCCGGTTCGCGAAAGGGCGCCGGCTGTATCTAAGCGGCAGAAGTTTTTAGTGAGGCTCAACTCCCATGTAACTATACTTGAGACGGTGAGTGGGTGGCGCATTTACGTTGTAGATGTTTATGGGCTCCAGTAACTACTTAACACCAGGTGGGCTGTGAGCTCGTTCACCCATCAAAGCAATAAAAAAAAACAAAAAAAAGCATACCCCACATGCCGCGCTGTTGGGGATCCGGCGATTTTCTCCTGGGGAAAAAAAAAAATACCTTACCGCGATCGTCGCGCTGACATTCGTTCAGTTCGTGCGGCACTTACTTATCAAGTTCTTTAGCTTGCCAATTTCACGCGAATGTATCAATATAGTTTTGATGCTAACGTTAAAAAGTGCTGCTAACTCACCGGTAGATTGAGTATAGTTAGCTTCGACTACCGCCTTTAATTCGTCATTGTTGATTTTGGTGTTTCTGGTGGCCACGGAATTTATTGTTAAATCAAAATTTCCATGTCGGTAGCGTTCAAACTAATAATAAGTCTGTGTTCGTTTGTAGTGTTCCGTAACCGTCATTAATGTTGTGATGAACTCGTATTCCATTATTTCTTGTATTTTTAGCGTGTCCTATTCATAAAACAGATATAAGTTTAGTGAAAATAAGACACTAACTAATCAATAAACAAATTACTGAATTTGAAGATACAAATTCTCTTTCTTTTCATAAAATTCATTTGAATTTAGAATTTACTGCGAGCAATACATATAAATTACGTTTTAAATAGCCAGTATTGTAAAACAGCAATTTCACATGTAAATAACTATTAATATAGTTATACCTATATACAATAAAAAACGCAAGATTAATCTGTAAAAGCCGTTCTGATAAACCACGTATTTAATAAAAGGATTTTTTTTTCCTCCAAATTTGTACAGTTTTTGTAATTTTGGATATTAATTGGAAAAAATTAAATGAGTATCAATAAAATTTTAGTAAAACACAAACTATAAACACAACTGCCAAATTAGAGCACATAATTCTATCATAGTCACTGCGCAATAATCCAATATACGTAAGAATATGTAGCGTTACTTTCACATATTAAACCCTTAGTAATAACAATTAAATTAACGGGTGAACATGACTAATTTTCTATCAGTTGTTCTTGAGGGGCCTTTGTGACCGTTTCAGTTATTAAGACTCAAAGGAACCCAGCAGGGGTCCCCAGCCTTTCTACTGTACTACGTGCAGATACGTAACTAGGGGTGCGACGTTAAAATATTAAACTTTAGTCTTTCCGGAAAAAAAATCTATCCAGCCAAAGAAAATAAAATTTGTTAAGGTGAGAGAGGAAATTTCTCTTAATATACACAAGTGTAATTTCAACTTTAAATTTTCTGAATTAATCACTAGTTTTTGAACTGGAAATAACAGGAATGTTTGATTATACTGGAAATATAATAGCTTAAATGTATAGTTTAAAAATTGATTGTGATGCTAATTAATAAATCATTGCAATTGCATACAGTCTTTTCTATATGTTAGGAAAAAATACCAAGTATGTACCCAAATTTTGAAAATAGAATTATGTTACGACTAGAATATTTAAATTCTTTCAGTTCAATTTTTCTCCTATAGGGTCCGGTGGCCGCATTCTTGTTATTGAATGCGGCCCGTGCACACAGTGCTCGTATGTGCGAATCAATGGTGTGGAAAAGGCTTTATCGATTTTAAACTACCCTTATGTTGCAGTTTGTTAAACTTATATTGTTATTGGCTTTCAAAAGAGAGACGTTCCTTTGCTTTGAACGGTTTGTTCGCTTGGATTTCGCTGAAGAATTTATGTCTGTACCATATTCAGATAACGTGTTAAAATATTTGTCATGAAAATATTCCGATCAAACATTTTTGATTTCTAGTAGTAGTTTTTTTTGGCGGAAATTTATTCTGTAACGTCTCCTTAGTGTATATTATGACAAGCCCTGTAAACAGATTAGCTTCAGTACTCGAAAACCAAGTGATACTCTTGAAAAAAAGCCGCAGCTAAAAACAAACAAATAAAAGAACTAGCTCTGAAATCAGAAACTCAAGAATCAAAAGTCGTAAAACTTATTAACGTTATTTATTTTACAGAGCTGAATCCACAGGAGTACGAGAACGACAAAAGGAATAAGGCTTGTCTTTTAACCTAAAGTCAAAGGGTTTGAGTTGGTAAAGGCTCAAGCTTGCTCGCCGTCGAGTCGCAGTCATTTTTTCACATAATTTTCGTAGTTTTCACAAGGAAAAACTACGAGAGTTGTCGAGTGGCATTGAGAGTCTAGCTTTATGAGGAGCTAAATAACTTTATGATGTTTTTATACTTTGTAACACTGTATTTAGTATAGGACTATACTCTGTTGGGCGACGAACTTCTTTTATATTATTTAGCATAATACAATTTTGACATTACCTTGTCATTGTCAACGCTTGTAAATTTTGGGAAGGTCTAACGTTTGTCTTTAAATAAAAATTGTCTGTTGCTAATTTTGTAATTATCAGACTCAACATCGCACCACAAAAACTCTAAAGTATTCAAAACATTGGAAATAATATAATAACAAAAATATTAACGGCAAACTAAGCCGTACAAGTAGT